AAAATTTAAACACCCCTAGCCCAAATTATTGAAAGTATAATTTTTTGATTGGGCTTAAATTTTTTGGGACCTTTTTGTAAGGCCTAAATTTTCATGGATTTAAATTTTTGTTTGTGGACTAGTTATGTACTTAAAATTATGGACCTTTTAAAAATTTGAGCCTAAAGTTCATGCTTTTTTTTTAGTATTGTTGGGCTGGATTTTTTCTTCCTAATTGAATGGTTTTTTAATATTTGGGAACTTATCGAGACTGAAGATTTAGAAAAAAAAAATATTAATAGCACTTTTGATGCTTAAAGAATGTATTTTTTGTTAATTTAGTATTAATTTTATCAATTTAATCTCTAAAGTATTCAATTCGTGTTATTTTGGTCTCCACATAGACGGACCGTTAAGTTTTTGACGGAATGATTATATATTTGGCACATGATACTTTTTAAAAAAATAACACATAGTCACTTCCGTCAAAAAACTTAATGGATTGTCTAATTAGGAATCAAAGTGACCGAATTGAATACTTTCTGGATCAAATTGACAAAATTAATAAAATGAAGATTAAACTAAAAAAAATATATGACCAATAGTACTATTAACCCAAAAAATAATTAGAGAGCCTACCAAGGTCATATAGTCAATAGCTCATTTGATTTGAAAATGGACCAAACAGCTAGTGCCCCCTATTTAGTTTACCCTAATTGTCAATTTTAAGTTTGGGTATCAATCGTGTCGTTTTTGTGTCAAGACTCTTGAAAAAGAAAATTTATTTAATATATTTTGAGTATTAAACATTAGTCTAGACTACTTATTATACGTATTTAATAATCGTTCATGTCAAATTTGTGTTAACGGATCAAAATTGACACTCCTAATTTTAAGGTTCCCTAGCCTTCATTTGTGCACCTTAATTCTAGCCATTTAATGCAAGAATTCAAAAGCTTGTGCATAAAGTCCAACATTTTTTTTTTATTCAACGATCAGGTATGTCCAATCCAATATACGCGCATTTTGATTAATTTATTTCCCAGGTTGGTCAAACGTAGGATATATATATACTAATACTAGGGTATTCATGAGAGATAAATCATTCATGATCTGTTTCCAAAAAATTATCAAGATTTAAAGTCAGAACGTTATATTACATCAATATTATCACGCAATGTAATCTCTCTATGATAAATGAATAAATAGGCAAAACTATTTCAATAACCATTCATCCATGTAGGATAATAACCGGCGCATATCTAACAAGCACAATGCACTTGTCCATTTGTTTGTTTATTAAAACGAGTTTCAGGTTCTTTAAAACAAATTTTCAACAAAATTACTAGATTGGTCATCTATTATCACAAGGTCAAGATATATTTTTTAATGAATTTAATCAATCTAATCACGTAAAGATTAATTAACTCTCGAAGTCTTCTTTCCAAATTTTCAATTACTAAAACATAGACTTAGATCTATACAAGCTTGAAATTTATGTGCCTCATAATTAGGTTAGTACTAAGATTCTTGGCAATAACTAATAAAAAGTTACCAAAAAAATGTCTTTTTTCTGTATTTTCAAGGGCAATAGAGGTAATTAAAATTTTCACATTAATTGATATTTAGAAGTAATATAAATATAATCCTCGGCTTAACCAAGAAGTAGACATGGCAATTTAGTCATGACCTGTGAAATTGAGAAAAAATCAATACATATTAGCAATTTTAGATTTTGTCTTAGCAGGCTCAGTCGGTAACTAAGTAAACCCATTTGTCCTGTCAAATAAATGTGTATGATGTATTCACTACGCAAGCCTAATACAAGATGACCCATTGGCAACCCTACAATGTAAGGGATTTGAAATACTTGGAATTTAAAAATATTCATGTATTACATAGAGGTCAAATATGGACCAATAACAAGTGCTCATCTGCCCAATCAATAATTCAATATGTTGTTGGTTCAATCTCAAAACATTACGCACCATTTCCTTTCTTACATCCCACCAAAAGCGGGAACATTGCTTCCTAAATACGATATTTTTCTGCTTTACAAAATTAAAAATATGACATAAAAAGGGATATGATGGTCGCATTGTGAAAACATATTGTTTTAGAAATATTATGTATGCTCTCAGTGTTGGAATTTGCAAAATCACCATCATTTTTTTTTTATTCAATAGTCAATGATGTGCAGACCAACTTACGCACATTTTTAATTAATTCCTTCTCCGGTCCATTGAAAAATATGCCATCCACACGAGATTAGAGAATTTATAAGGGATAAATTCTCATGGCCTGATCGACCCTAAAAGGTAATCAAGATTTAAACTCAAGACATTTAATTTTATAACTCGTCTTTATTGCAACTTGAACTACCTTGAAGTTGCATCTCCGGCATTTAAGCAAACGAAACTTGTAAGCAAATACTCTTTTGAATTAAGACCTTCGATTATTAAAAGCCGCGGTCGTTTTGTCAAACTGATAACAAGTCATTGACTAGAACCCATAACATTGTGTTGCTGTCACCATTGTGTACAAGGCAAAAAATTACTTTTAAAGAGATGTGTTGCAGCCAATCTTTTAAGCATTCACACTATTGTTTTAGAGTCAAATTAATAGTTAAACAAATTTATATATTTTATTTTATATTTTACTTGAGCCGTTTCTTGTTAGATAATATTTTCTCAAGATAAATAGTTCGGTCTTAACTTTAGAATTAAGCTACAGTATTGCCCTGATACAGAATCAAAAATTCATTTGATTTTAGTTTGGTTGATTTGTGACAGTGAGCATTGGTTAAAATTATAAGTATAAAAATAACAAAATACAAGAAGTTTATATGTATCATGTTTTTATTAGATGTAGAATAAAGTATGTTACCCAAAAATTATTCTTTAGGAACATGGAAAATTGTACTTTGTAACATGAAAAATTTTAAAAATTACTTTACACTTTTAAAAATTAAAATTTTTACATTATACCTTAATGTATTAAGAATATTGCATTGTAACGTTCCATTAGTTTTCGTTTAATCATTTCATCAATGTCAAAGTGATGACTTTTGACAGAATAAGAAATGAAAACTAGTAAAAAACCTACATTGTAATACTTTTAATACATTGAGAGTGCAATGTAAGAAATCTAATTTTTGAGGGTATAAAGTAAAAAATCTTAAATCTTTTAAGGCACCGAGTGAGATTCTCCTGACTAAGACTAATATAACATGACGTTAATAATATCATGTTGTGTAACCGTCCACTATTAAATAAACAAATAAATAAGTGAGACCCACAAAATTAAGTAATCAGCTATCTATATAATATATAATTACCTCTATATAAGATAAATAAGTGATTATAAGAGAAATTGAAGAGTAATGCTACATAGATTTAAAAATTAAATTTGATAATTATAATTATTTAATGGGTAATAGGTCTTAATAAATACTGAAATTCACAATAAAATCAATGATTATAATTATTAAATTTAATTTTTAAACCTAATTTTTAAATTCGCGTGACATATTAAAATTAATGAGCAAATTAGTAGTCTTCAAGCTGTCACATTAATGATTTTGCATAACATTAATTGCGTTCAGAAAAGCTGTCACAATGTGATGAAATGCATGAAAAATAAATATTTATTAACTATCATTTTTCCAAGTGCAAATGACCACCTAACCTAGATATATTTATAGCTCAAGGTTATGTCCACTAAATTTGTGCATCAAAATTTGTATTAAATCACTTAGAGCGTCTCTTGACTCAAATTTAAATTTAAATAAAAAAAATTTAAAAAATTTACTGCAACTCTTAACTTAAACTTATACCAAATCAAGAGATATTTTATTTTTTACTCAAATTAAGGGAGACTCAAATCCTTACTCAAATCTTTAATTGTGAGATTTCACCCTTTTTTTAAGATTCTATAGTCATCTTTACTCTTATTTAATTTTGAATTTGTCCTCATTTAAATTTAAATTTCTCATTCTTTAAATTTGAGTTTGTCCATTAAAGCCATATTTATCAAATCAAATTTTTTACTTAAATACTAACTTAAATTTGAGTAAAATTTTGAGTCATGGTTGGAGATGCTCTTACAGTCGTTAAATCAGTAGATCTCATCATTGATCCAAAGATTACAATTAATTTGGTGTAAATTTTGGTCAATGGACAAATTCTGAATCGAATCCAATTTGAATTCGATTAATTAGATATGGATTGATATTTTATTTTTATCAATAATTTGAACTCGAATCTGATATCTTATATTTTAACGAGACTCGAATTTGGATATACATATATCTGAATTATTTATATATTGCTATATAAATATTAAAGAAATTAAGTTATTATTTAAAAAAATTTAGAAAATTTAGATATAATTTGTTAAAATTATGCTAATTAAATTATTCGAATCGAATTTCAAATTTTTAACGAATTTGAATATGGACCACAAAAAATCATCGGATTTAAATCAGTCAAAATCCGATCCAACACTCGATCCATAGTTGAGCCTATTTTCAATCCAACAACTATAATAATTATGTATTCAAATTAATTTTAAATAACATTTTTTGATGATTATTGAGCCGGGAAAAGTGTAAAGTGTCTAGTAGTTGTACATGTTAAGTCGCAGTTGGGCAGCAAAATTTCAAATTTCAAATCCCAATTATTCAAAGTAGTCTCCTTAAATTATGTTAATTAGAGACTAACCCCCAAGTTTTCATCTAGATAGTGACGAGTAGCCTAAAAACTCTAGACAATAGAGCACCAAAAGTCTGACCATTCCACATCACCAGTCGACATTACCCCACAGTTATCAGTCCCCACACGCATTTACACCCCAAGTTCACAACGACAAAGAGGCATCAACCATGAACTTTCCATTAGTTTTCCACGCACTTCACCTAACGCGTCCATAGTCAAAAACCAATTCCATACACCTTTAACAACCGTCCGCCATGTCTTTTTCTATTACCCAACACAACCTCATCAGCAACTTGTGTATATATAGTTATACACACACACACAAATCTTGTGTGCATTCTTCATCCCCCCCCCCCCCCCCCCACCCCCACCCACAAGCAAAAAAGGGCCCCTCACCAAAACACGCACATCCCTACTTTATAAACCCATTTCATTTCTCATCCTCCCACACCCAATTTTCTTTGCTACAGCCATTCCGCTCACGGGTAAGATTTCGTACATCTATTTTTTTTATGAGATTGAGCAGTGATAAGCGATTCATTCATCAAATCTAACACACATATCGAATTTGTCCCTTTTTGAAAGTTTCGTGCCATCCTCTTCGTTCTAGTTACGGATAAGGTTACACACATTTGATTGTTCTTTTAAAATCAAGGACCGACAATTAATAAGAGATTCGTCCACAAACCAAGATAAAGATTGTGTGCATCTAACTGGTGTTCTCAAAAGAGACTCGAACACCAAAACTGCCATGGGAAACTATGTGTCATGTACTTTTATTACCCCTATAATGAAAAGCTCCATGGCAGCTAGGGTGGTAGTTCCCGGCGGTGAAATACGGCACATTCGGGAACCGGTGAAGGCCGCCGAGCTCATGCTGGACTGCCCAAGCTTCTTTTTGGTTAACTCTCGATCTTTGAACATTGGTAAAAGATTTTCAGCTCTCTCAGCCGATGAAGACTTGGAGTTTGGCAACGTGTATATTATGTTTCCGATGAAGAGAGTGAATGCTGTAGTTACGGCGGCCGATATGGCCGTGTTATTTATGGCGATCAACTCTCCTGCTAAACGGATTTCCGGTGTCAAGGTGGGAGTTTTACCGGAAGCGACAGCTGTGGCCGCGGAAAGAAGAGATAGTTCGCCGGAAAGTGATGTCGTCGGAAGGTCGGGACTGAATTTGAGTGACGTGGAGGGTTTCCCGGCGCCGGAGTTCAGGCACAGGTTATCAATGTGTAGGTCAAAGAAGCCCCTGTTGGAGACAATTACAGAAGAGCCAGTTTGTTCAAGATGAGAGAGGGTGTTTCGCAGGGGTATTATAGGAAAGTCGTGTAGGCATTTTTTTTTTTTTTAGGAAAAAAAGCTTTAGTGGAGAAATTGGGGGTGTAATTATCGAATTTGAATGAAAATTTATGGAGAAAAGCTGGAAAATATTTGTAGAAGTCAATGATACAGAGGATGTATTTGACCGAGTATTGTTATGTTTACTAAATTTTATATATTAAATATTGTTGGTGATTGGATTAATCGACTTCACTCAAGCCCAGGAAACATTCAATTTCATGGCATCGGATGGGATGCAATCTATGAACTCCGGATACCGATACAAAATATGGGTACCATATAAAATGGATACCGCGATACGATATAAAATTTTAAAAAGTAGGATATGAGTATAATCAGGATACGGCTATAACAAAATTTTTTTATTATTTTTATTATTTTCAACCAACTTAATACTTATATAATTTGATAATTCTTTAATACTTCTTCCGTTCCTAAATATCTTTTATTTTACACAATTTATTTTGTTCCATAATATCTGTCGTTTAATGAAATCAAAGCATAATTAATATTTTTTCTTTTAAATTTACCCTTAACTTTTCAATGCATTAGATTAGATGGAGGCTAAATGTCTTTCATATTCTTTTCTTTCCAATACGTATTGAATAAGGATATTTTAGTCTTGTGCAATTATTTTTTACTCATATTAGAGTTATTTAATAACTTCCTTAATTCCTGTGCAAAAACTTTAAATGACAGATATTTAGGAACGTAAGGAGTATATAATAAAGAAAATTAGTAATTTTTTTTAGTTTTAAGAAAATATATATCATGTCGCTGTGATATATTCACAAAGTGAAGTGACTAATTGAAAGAATAAAAACTAATATTTACCTAGTATTTAGAAGTAATTTTTGTCAAAATTATAATATAATAGTTTTACTATTTGGTCTTTTGATAAGTAATTGTAGATAATAATACTTAAAAAACACTCATGTACCTTTGAAGTAATATGAAATTTTTATTAATGTATTGTTTGGTATATAAATTAGAAAAGAAATGTTAAAAGTTCAATTAAAAAATTATATATGTTGTTGTATTATAAAAGTATTTGTGAAATATTTTAATATTTAATTATTATCAGATATGTAAAACATGTATCTAATACGTATTCTCGAGTATCTGATGAATATCGTATCTAATATAATATTCGATACGGATACGTCAATTTCAACAAAATATTCGTACTTCGTAAGATACAATAGTGGATAAACTTATTTGGGATGGAGAATTTGACTACATTGAACGTAGGACTAAAATTTAGTTTAAAATCCTCTATTCATTGAAAAGTACCAAATCCCCGTGAACCGTAAAGGAATGAATTGAAAAGTACAGTCAACCCTTTTGTTTTACAAACCATCCACGCTAGGGAGAAGACTAAAGTACAATTTAGCAACCACAAAACTAATATAAGTGATAATAAGAATAAATTATAAATTTAGACGATTTAAATTTAAATTTTAATAATTCTTTAAAGTTATGTCACGAGAGACTGTTTGACAAGTAGTATGAGAGTTTTGTAAAAAGGGTTTGGAAAAAAAAGTTCAAAGGACCCCTAAATCCTACATTTAGATTGAAAGTTCAGTCATAGATTCCCAAATTTAATATGTAGTTGATTTGAAGATTAAACTCATGATCATATGTTTCGTTAAACTTAGGGGAGGGGTGGGTTTGAGAATATGAGTAATGAGTTAAGGATACAAAAAATAATTGTATCCCTTAATATGAGTATCAATTAGATTGACAAAGGGTAAAAAATAATCATTTAAAAGACAAATAGTTGTTAATATTCGTAGGTCCTACATATGTATGTGTTATATACTAAACATGGGTATGAACCTGATTGAATGTTGAATCTTCATCTTTATAAAGAGGAGTTTGGATTTGGAAGGATTTGGATAAACCAATCCAAATACCTCCTTAAAATTCATCCAAACAAACCTGGATAAATTTATCTCTTATGAATTCTCTAGTCTCGATGTAGATACTCTACTTCTGATAAAATCGAGAAAAAAAAATTATTTGAATAACCCAGAAAAATAGTGTCCTCATCCATTTGACGAGGAAGATGCGTGTACTGTACAGCCAGCCAAAGCGGGGGGGCCTAACTGGCTCCAGCTTTTCTATATTCAATGTCCACGTGCATAAATTTTTAATATTTATGAGGACAGGTATTAGGATACTCTTTTTGACCATATAATGTAAAAATGTATCTCTAATTGAAGCACATTTTCATTAATCTTGTGATTTTTAAATTTAATGGCTACTCATATTTGTCTCTTTTTTAAATTAAGATTCTCCCCATTACAAATTCATTTAATTTTACCAAATATATAGATGACTTATCATAAGTTTAAAAAAGCCTCGTTACTTATAAGTTAGTAGTCTTTCATTAGTATAATTTATTTTTTTTAGTATTTGAGTATAATATTTTCTTTTTTTCTTTCCAGGTGGAAATTTTTAATGTACGATAAATTTTTTTACCATATCATATCTTCTTTCTTTTTTTTTTTTTACAATGAGAATTCCATAGGTATAAATTATTTGTATTACATTACTTTCTATATAATGTAATAAAACCCTTAACCTTCCGATTAGTGCTCCAAGGGCATGTTTGTTTGGAAGTTTTAGCGGTACTATAGGGTGAGATAACAAGAAATAATATTTGGAGTCCACTTATTACCTTGTTTGTTTGACATTTTATGTACAATATTATTTTTCGGGTTGTAATACTGACCCTAGTTTGTACAGTAATCTTTAACCTTTGTACATGATTTTAATGAATACCACCTATCAGGTAATTTTATTTGCTGGTATAAATCTATCAACAGTACAAATAAGAAAATTGTCACAAATACTCTCCTTTGTGTAGAGTTCACATATAAAAAAATTATTTTAATTTTTTTTTCTTATTTTATGTTTAAGTGTATGGTGTAACCGATTTTTTTTTTTAATTTTTTTACGGTATCACCGATTCATAGCATTAAATTCTTTATTTTTTTATGTGAATTTTTTACATTATCCGAAATTTTTTGGGTATGAATTGTCATACCATGTATTATACCAAATATTGTGCAAAAATGTTACACAAACAGGGTAATGGAATGAATGATATTAAGCGTAAAATGATATATTTGTTATACAAGATGTGATAGAGTAGATGATTGTTTGTGAGGCTTACCATAATACCTATTGAACAAACAAATATAGGAGGAGATTAATATATTTTCTATTGCAGGTACTAATTTCTATTAGTATTGGAAATGTAAGGAATATATTTCTTAATATCATGCATAGTAATACTCAAAACAAATATGCCCCAAGTAAATATAAATTAGTGGGTATTAATATATTGGTCTATAACACCTACGCATTCATATACCAACCATTCTTTAAGAATTATTGTGTTGAAATTTCTCTCTATAATAAGTAATCTAATGAGCTATCTCATTACATTTCTTTTTAGGAAACGAATACAATATTAATATTAAACTAGAAATTAAAATAAAAGAATAGTTAGTTACAACTCAATCTTGTCAAGTTACAATTCTAAAAAATTAAGTCATTCACTATAGATCACGTTTATCATATATTCAAGTGGGATGTATTATTTATAACTAGGCCACTCATCCATATACGGAGGGTGATCTATCTACTCATAAATAAAATTAAGTGAAAATGTAATGGAGAGAATTTGAATCACCCATTGTTCTCTTTCCCTTTCCACAGGTTTGAATCTCAAGAATTGTTTGATTTAAATTCTCTCAATTATATTTTCACACAATTCGGTCAATAGTAGTAAATGACCCACCATGTACAGGTAAGGGGTTTACTTATATAAAAAAAAACTCTCCTTGAATCTTGATCGGTGATTTATTGTTGAGTAAAATTAAAAAAAAATGTATAGTAATAAAGAGGATCTAATCTGAATTTTAAAAACCCAAGACAACATCCTCTTGGACAGTCTCCATCTATGAGTTGTTGCTTTGAGCTTCACGATGGCAAATATCTCAGGGTCGCCAGCAAAACTCCCTAGGAAAAAGGCTAAGCCAATAAACATTGTTTCGTTTTCTTGTAGAGTCCGCACCTACCTGATACTGATAAACCCTTCACAAAGTCCAATGTAATTCAAATATTCTTTCCAAAATAACCATTCCTATAAATTGAAGTGGGAAAGATTTTGAGATTCACAGAGTTTCGCAAGTTTCATCTGGTAAGGTTGCAAATTCTCTCTTCTTCGGTAGATAGTCTTTGGCTTTTTCTTGTTATGATTTTTATTTTTCCTAATGATTTCAAACAACTTGGCACCTATTAGAGCATACTTCTGTTGGCATTAGTCCTAGGGCTTTTAAATCATTGATCTTCTTGAGTTTCGAGTTCAACTCAGTTTTAACTTATCATTCTCTTTATAAAATGAACCAAATTCGATCAAATTTTTAAGCTTGTTTTTTGAGTGCAGTGATCGAGCCTGAGCTAGCCCTGGGAAGATGAATCCAGAAAAGAAGTTTGATTACGAGAATGAAAACCGGACACATATACCAGTGGTGACTAAGGCAACTGATGATCATAACGAAAACGAAGGTTATCTACGCTTGGAATTCTTTGCCCTGTCAATTGTATTTTGCATGGGTCTTTTGGCAATTGTTTTCATGGCGTTCTATATAATTTCTGGATATAAGCACTATAGAGCTTCATATAAGCTCTACAAAGCTTCGAACCATCACGTTGAAAGAAACGCCATAGCCAGTGCAGTTTTTGTTGTCCCCATTTTCATTTGGTTGGTCTCCATGATTATTATGGTTTCTTCTTCATTGGGAAGAACTATTCACAGGTATATTCATATCAGGCATACATCGAGGATGGTTAAACCCTGCAATGTTATGGAGATTTGAGGCCATTCAGGGTGGAATAGAAGAAGACTGATAGAGATATGACAATATCCATAAGTGCATCTGATCAATTTTGAAGAAGGATTGATGATTTATGTGTATCTAATGTACTTGTTTATTCACTCTGTGAATAAGGTTGAATTTTATATAATCAATTATCAATAAAAATATAAAAGACAATTTTTAGAACAGATTTCAACGAATGAAGGGTTTTTAGGTGGCGATATCATAAATCCTTTAAGCAGATCGTGTCTAGTTCATCTTTTACAACTACGTAGAAAGATAAAGTCTACATTTATGAAGACAAGCCTTGTTAGTAGTTATACTTGCCCCTCCGAGTGATGCGGAAATTTGGGGTATGTTTGGATGGTTTTGGGGTGAGATTGGATTGCTTTATTGATCCAATCCAATCTCAACGACTCTAATATGAGTCTGTTAGGTTGGTTTTTTGGGAGAGATTTAGATTAATTTATCTAAACTCTTTCAAACTTAAATCTGTTTTATAAAGATGAGATTTAATATTCAATTTCATTCATACTCATGCTTGGTACGCGTACGAATATATCACTATTACGACAATATATTTATATATAAATGACTATTGTGTCCCTTAACCAATTTAATCAAAACTCATGTTTGTATATGTGCATTTTCTTGTGTCCTTATGATTTTAATATTTGATTATTTAAATATTTAATTATTTGATTATTTTAATATTTGGGATAGAAATATTTGATTATTTTAATATTTAGGGTATAAATATTTGATTATTTGGGTTATATGGGGATATAAATGTTTTTTCGTATATTCAACTCTTTAATTCCCATATGAAACCCACACACCCTGCCCCCCCCCCCCCCCCCCCCAAACCGGGTTTCTTGAAATCTATGAATATGGGTTTAAATTGCAGGCCTAAAGCCGGTTGGATTTGATAACGTGGGAAGGAAATGTAGCTGTCGGTTTAATGGATTTTATGGGTCTTTATTCTCAACCTATGTTTTAAATCCCCCCTTATCTCAAATACCAAACAGGCACTATATACCCTTTTTCCTACGGAATTCTGATGGTGACCCTGAGATATACACCCTTTTCCTACGTTTTTTCTTTTCTCGTAGAGTCCGCCTGCACCTTC